ATTAATAGAGACAGATACAAGGACTACTAGAGGTAGAGCTGCCTTCAGGATGTTTCCTTTGTGCTTGCTTTATATAGTCTTGCCTGTTGTTTGGTGTGTGTGTGTGTGTGTGTGTGTGTGTGTGTGTCTGTGTGTCTGTGTGTATCTGTGTATGCATGTTCCTGAGGTTTGGTGTCTTCTTCTGTCATTCTCCACCTTATTTTCCGAGACACGGTCTCTGAGCCCAGAGCTAACTGATTTGGCTAGACTGGCCAGCCAGTGAGGTCTAGCTGTCTTCCTACCTTTACTTCCCAAGTCCTGGGGTCGCAGTTGGCACATTACCACACCCGGCTTTTGAACAGGTGCTGAGAATCTCAGGCCCTCCTGCTTGCATAGCAGGTCCTTTACCCATTAAACAATCGCCTGAGACCATCACTTATTTTTTTTTAATGACTGTTTACAAGAAATATCCTTTATGAAGATGTTAAAGGTAGTATTATAAAGGTAAAGGGGGAAATTGAAAACCAAACATTGTTCAATGGTATGTGATCCAAGGAAATTCTAAAAGCAAAGAGTGGGTACAGATTTAAAGCATTCATTTTTAAATTTTATTTTAATTTTTAATCTTAATTTATTTTATTTTTGTGTATGAATGTTTTGCCTGCATGGATGTAAGTGCACCCATGTCATGCAATGCCTGAAGGGGCCAGAAGAGGGCATTAGATCCCCTGGAACTGGAGTTAAGAATGGTTGTTAGTTGCCATGTGGGTGTTGGGAAGTGAACCAGGTCCTCTGCAAGAGCAGCCAGTGCTCTGAACTACTGAGCCATCTCTCCAGTCCCACAGCATATGCTTTGATTAGGAAAACAATACATACTGATTGCCAAAGATGATGATATGACAGGAGAGAGAGAGAGAGAGAGAGAGAGAGAGAGAGAGAGAGAGAGAGAGAGAAAGGAGAAAGGGAGGGAGGGAGGAGCGAACTACTTTACATCTGCATTACCCACAGGAAGTAGAAATACCTCTTCCATTTTAAATTTTGCTTCCTATGTGTTTTTTTCCAAGGATATATTTTTTGCCTAGTTGAAGTACTATTTCTAAATGTTTGTACAACTTATTAACCTTCTTTTTAAAACCCTTTATTTTTAGACCTTCCTTATATCTTTTCACAGCTACATAAAAATCAATCCGATAACTATTTCTTCATTGATTCTACTACTGCAGTCTCTTGAACATTTCATTTATTTCCAGAGCTGGGTGATAAACCCCTTAGTGTGCAAACCTCTCTCCAAAATTCAGATTATTTCCCTTAGGCTAAATTCCTGAAGATGTACATAAACTGAGCCAAAGTATTGTGATGCTTTTCAGATTCTTGATGTATTCTGACAAATTGCTTTTCCAGAGGGTGATATCAGTTTGCACTCCCATCCACAGAGGGCAAGTGGGTCTCACCTCACCTTTGCCAGGATTGAATAAGACAATTTTCAAAGTCTTTGTTAATTGGATGAGTTAGAAATAGCATTCAATTTTGGCTTTACTTTGTATTATTTTCTTTCCAAAGAACTTGAAAGATTTTTCATCTTATCAGCTATTTGGAAAACAAGATCTTTTAAAAAGAAAATCGTGCAAATTGGGAATCTTGTTAGAGTATACTATTTATTTGGCAAGTGTTGATATTAGCTGCAACATATGATAAAAATTCTCTAAATAAAAGTGCTAACTATTAAGTAAGCCTCTACCATTAGAAGTTTAACATTCATGTGTATAATACAGCATTTAGAAGAGAGCCAAGGGGAAAGAGATTTTGGCAAGTGTTTCCAGGGAAGGGTCTAGGAAAGTGAGTCGGGGCTAGAAAGAGATGAAGCAGGTATGTAGCACCAGGCAAAGTCCAATGGGAGGCAACCATCCTTGTCCTACAAGATTGTTCTGGAGTTGAGCAGTGTCAGTTCAGCCTCAGAAACACTCACTTGCTCAGCCATCTCTCTAGTCATTAGGGAAACCAGGTGGACATTTCCTGTAAGATCAACCTTACCAGCTTTCAGGTAAGCACACTGAAGGTAGGGTAGACTGTGGAGTCTGATTGAAGTGTCTTGCCAGCTGACTATTAAGAATTCTATCATCCTTAACATTTGCTGTGAAGGTTGTCTGCATAGAGACAAAATCCTTTTATGTAGAGATGTTTGACAGAAGAATGTTAAAACAGCAATAAACAACACTTAAGGCCCAAGTTACATGGCTTACTCCTTTCCCAGATAGAAACCTATAGCTTTCTAGGAATCTCACAAGAACCTTTTTGTATAGGAAAAAACAAACCAATAAATATTTCTTTTAAAGCATTTATTTACATTTTATGAATATGAATGTTTTGTCTGCATGTAAGTACACCCCTGTCATGCAATGTCCATGGAGGCCAGAAGAGGACATTGGATCCCCTGGAACTGGAGTTACAGACAGTTGTTAACCATCATGTGGGTGTTGGGAACCAAACCCAGGTCCTCTGCAAAAGTAGTCAGTGCTCTTAACTGCTGAGGCATCTCTCTAGCTTCCCCTGTCTACCCCCCAAAATATTTCTTAACCTACTTATGCAACCCTTGTGACTCAAAGCTTTATCAGCCCGCAATCCTGTTCAAGACACCTGCATAGCCACTATAATCTCATTTGCCGAGAAGAGGAGAAAAGATGTACATGTGTATAGGGGTGTGTTTCTTAGAAACTGAATGATACAGCCAGAAGTCATCAAAGTCTTATACAAGGCTACTGTGAAGACATTTGAGAAGCCCACGCCTACCTGGTATGTGTGCTGTCCTTTCCCTGAGTGCCTCTCTGCTACCTATGTTAAAATCTCTTCCTTACCCCAGCTATCTTCTTACTGACTTGTCCTGAAATTATTTTCTATGACCAAGTCAAGAATCCCAGCATCATCTGAGTAGATGTCTCTGTAAAGCTCTCTTCTGGCTGCTTCAGGTAGCAGTGTGGAGCTGTGTCTCTGGTCTCCACTCACTGTTGGAAACATAACCAACCTACAGGCAGCTCTCTGACAAAGAGAATGTGGAGAACGTGGTACCTCTGGGCAGAGCAAACCCACTTAAAAGCAGTGGTGCACAGAAATGGTGGAGATGTCCTCGGGTCCCTCTAGAGCATATCTCACTTGCCAGGAATCCTGTGACCAACTGATCACCCTTCTCAGTTGTGGGTGCCAACTCCATCCATCTGCATGTTGATCTGGAATGGGGCTACATCTTCAGGTCAGCAGTGAGTGGTAAAACAGAGAAACAGCACTAATACATCTATATTTGTTTGCATCTATGCATGATCTATGCATGTTTGTAGAGCGTAGATGAAACTGTAAAAGTGAGTGGAGGGAAAGCTGGGGAAGAAAAGAACAAAGAGGCTAATGGTGAGACCCTCTGAAGGCCACCCATGGGGACAATGAATTGGGCTGGGTGCTGAGGAGGCCACCAGATAATGGATGCAGAGAATGAACCTTATGCCTGCTATGCTTTGCTGGCTTTGGTCAAGATCTGGAGTTTCTCATGGGCCATGTTTTCTGGTTTATTTCATAAGACAATATAAATGTTGACTTAATAAAGTAAATAATACATATTTAGAAAATTTATGAAAAAAAGTGAGTATTTTGCCTACTAATCCTGGTACTTCACCAGGTTTCCAGCAAAACAGATCCTTTCCGAGAATAACCATTTGCAAGGTGGGGAACTGGCCAGGGCTAGGGGAGCTCCTGGGGCCAACCCTCCACCTCCACTGGCAGTCTAACAAACAGACTAAGAACCAGGGCGGGAAAAAACATCTATGAAAGCCAGAAGTATCCACTGGAGTCCCGTGGAGCCAAAGCCCTGGATGAATTGGCTGTGTGTGAAAAGCCTCCTGTGAGAAGCAGTGGAGGAGGGAGAGAAGATGCCTGGCCACAGCAGCTCCAGCATGTGACCTAGGGTAGGTAGCTACAGGTTCTCTGTAGCTGTTTTTAGAGTTTTCTCCTGCCTCTGGAACAGCAAGAAGCAACAGTTGTTGCAGTAGCTAGCTTTCTTGCTTAGACGCCCTGATATGTGCATCACATTTTTAGGGTGTATTCTCCTGACTTTCGGGAGTCCAGAGGTTGCTGCAGAAGGAGTCACAGCTCTGCCTCCCACGAGCTTGGCTTCAAGCAGCAGCTCCAGTTCTGTAACATCTCAGAGATCACTCCCAAGCTCAGCCTCCAACCACTGCTCCATCCAACAAATGTATCAGCGTCTCATTTCTTAGGTAAACACCTCCTTGTTTAACACTGACTAGGCAGGAGAGTGTACAATCTTTATTGTTTTATATAAGAAAAAAGGCAGGGACACTTTCCTTCTTCCTTTGTCCCCTCCCTTCCTTTTCCTCACTTTCCGTCCAGGGATTTCCTCTTAACGTCCTGTCCCTCCTGATGAATTTAGAAAGCCTATGTGTGTAGTACATCATTTGGGGAGAAAGGTGGCCTGCTCAGGAGGAGGGGTGTGAGTCAGCAACAGGATGTGGGACTCATCCTAGAAAACTTAGCGGACAAGTAAACATTTTAAAGACAGTGGCAGTCAGGTTTCTTGTCAGAGAATGTAAAAAGGGTTCTTTCTCTCTCTCCTGTTCTCTCTCTCTCTCTCTCTCTCTCTCTCTCTCGGACTCATCCTAGAAAACTTAGCGGACAAGTAAACATTTTAAAGACAGTGGCAGTCAGGTTTCTTGTCAGAGAATGTAAAAAGGGTTCTTTCTCTCTCTCCTGTTCTCTCTCTCTCTCTCTCTCTCTCTCTCTCTCTCTCTCTCCTCTCTCTTTCTCTCTCTAGCTTTATCCATAGGCAGTCTAAGAGCAGTTAACATCCCAACAAGACTACTATCCAGATCTTGATAACTATATGCTCTTACCATTCAGACTAATCTCTGAAGGATGGGCTAGAAATAGAGAAAATATAGATAATTTTGAAGCAACCCATTACATCAGAGAGTAAAGATGTTTCTGATAAATGCGGACAGAGCATGCCAAAAAGACACAGAAACTAACCAATAAGGCTCCCACTGGCTGGTGGGGGGGCGGGCGCAATATGACGCTAGGTAGGAGTCCATGAGTCCACACTGAACAAGTCCGCTGTCAATGAAGAAGCTAAAAGTTTGATGAGCATCAAGTACATACCAGTTCTCAAAACACCTCCCTAAAAGATGCAAGATGCCATGGGAATGAAGGTAACTTGATAGCATAGAGGCTGGCCACCAGTGGTTCCTCAGCTGACAGATGTTATCACCAGAGTGACAGAGCAAATTCAAATTGTGAGGTGCCTGCAGTATACAGTAAAGGCTGCGGCCTCACTTCAGGGGCGTTCTTTCTGGAGACATAGAATCAGAGTACAATTGTGACAGATTGCCAGACAATGCCAACTGGAGCCTGCAGAATAGCTTACCGTTTTTATCATGGTCATGAACAACTGATAACCACTCATAATCGCTTGTATGAATGACTAGTAACTAGATACAATTTTCTTGTTCAATTCAAAATGGATTATTTTGCTATTAAGGACATGATATAACAAGAGATGGGACCTGAGTGGGTCTGTGAATTAGAAGTCAGTAATGTATCAGTGCTATGTCCCCATTTTGATGACTGCTCTCGGCTGTATGGGAGGTTTTGTTTGTAGGATTTACATACTAAGGTACTCAGGAGTGAAGAGCACAGCTTTGCCCTTATTCTTTAGTGGTCCGGAAAATATTCCACTGTTATTTCAATTTATCTGTGCATTTGAGACAGTCAGTTTTCATACCACACACACACACACACACACACACACACACACAAACACACAGCACATAAATACCTGTTGTGTGGAGTGTTACCACTTAGTGTTTCTTGAGGAAGGAAAGGTGCTGCATTAAGCACAGGATGAGGACTCTATGAGGAGTTTCTTCATCTCCTGGGCAGTAGCAGGGACATGGATGGAGGTCAGTTTAGTCTCCTGCCCAGCCGGGATCATTTATGGAATCTGTGAAGAAATATGGCAGCCCGGAGCCAGACAATCAGGGCAGGGTTCAGCAGGCCAGATGCAGCGAGTCAGACTCCCAAATAAAACCAACAGCCCTCTTAGAGTCAGTTGTTCCCCTAGCTCTGGAGACCCCCTTTCTCTACCCTACCCAAGAAGTCTGGAACATTTGCCTATAAATCTCACTTTCACTTTGCACTGACCTGTTTTCTTGCCTCTTAATTCTTTTAACAGATGAAGAATGGGAAAGGTGAGCAAGCAGCAGGCTAGGAGTGGTCTATGGAGTCATACAGCCCAGTTCTACCATCTCTGAGTAAGATGCGACAGAGGTCTGCAGAGGCTGAGCTGTTAGGCTAATGATGACAGCACCAACTCACCACCAGGAGCAAAGCCCAGGTTATCCTCTCTTCCTGTCATGGGCTGGTGGTGGCAGAATAAATGACCAAGTAAAGAAAAGTGGATAAACATAGACATGGATGTAGAATTCAAGTCCAAAACTTATTTTCAATTTTATCTGGAAAAAAAAATTAGGCACTAAAGACAGGTGATTATTTGAGAAGGATTATTTGGGTATTTACTTTAAACAAGATTTCTCAACAGCTACTTTGGACCAAATAATTCTTTGTCATGGAGGCTGCCCTATGCATCGCAGTGCGCTTACCAGTCTGTCTGCCTTCTACCCACAGGGTATGCTAACAACTCCCTAGCTGCCAAATATCTTTTGGATGCAAAGCCACTCTTGCCTGAGGACCTCTGGGCTCACAGCTTGACTGGGACAGAGGTGCATGGACACTGTCAGCACGTTGTAAGTGTTTATATTCAGGCAGCCAAGGCAATCTTTCATCAAGCAATGTCTTGGGCTCTGCAGCCAGACTGCCTGTCTTGAATGGCAGCCCAACTATTCACTAGCCCCATGGCTTCCCTTGGGTTCTCTAAGATGACGTGGTATTAATGCCTATCTTTTGAGGGTTGTAAAATATTTTCTACAAAGCACTGCTAGGAGAGATTGCCAAGCAGACAGATGTTTAATCAGTGAACAGAAGGCTAGGATGTAGCTTAGTGGTACAGTCCAGCATGTATGAGGCCCTCGGTTCAAGGGCCAGAACTGCCAAAGAGAGGGAGATTGAGCAAGCTTTGGTGATGGTGAGCTGAAGGAGGCCCCAGCAGTCTAGGTGGCCTAGTACCTATTCAATTTGCTTAATTTGGTGATTCGACTGAGAAATTAGATTTGTGGACACTTTCAAGGGTTCCTTCTGAAAATCTGAGTCAGATCAGTTTTTACAAGATGTCGTATGAAATGTATGAACAAAAGAAAGAAATCAAGTCAAGTGTCTCATCTTCACTTCAAATACAAAAACAGGCAAGGAGGGCACGTTTGCTTAGAGTGAAAAAGGAACTCACAATGGATGTTCAGAGCTCAAGGTCCTTTGTTCTGTGATGTCTTGAGGCAGTTTCGAGAAATCTTACTCTGCAGTGGTTCCTGACTGTAGCCTGCACTCTCCTTGGCATCTAAACAGGCTATAGCTGCCAGCATTCACTGGGGCCCTTGCAGCTGAAGAGCTGTGATGGTTTGGCATTATTAGCCCACACTAAATCCACCATTAGTCACAGAACACACGTCCCAGGGGATGCTGCAATAATGTTATCCTAGCACTCTGCTAGCACTCGGCACCATTGTTCATGCGCTTTCTGGAAATATTCTGTGGGAACGAAAAACTCCCTTGTGACAACCACAGCATGGCCAAGCTCCCACAGCCTGGAACATCCAAATGGCGTGCATGAAGACACTCCAGCCGCGGATGTGAGAATGAGTTTCACTTGGCTGCGGTTTGCTTTCCGTACTTGTGTTATTTCCTTTGCCAGAAGTGTGCATTAATTTTATTTTCCCAGCCTGGAAATTTATGATTCTCCCATCAAAAGACTTCTCACAACCTTTTCAATAACAACAGTGCTGACCTCCCGCATCTCTAACATTCTATCCTTTTCAAAGCAATTTCATATGCGTTAATTTACATACAGTATTATTTTGGTCTCAGAAATGGCTATCTGCTCAGTATAGAGTTTCTTCCCTCCCCCAAACCCTTGTGAACTTTTTGCTGTTTTTGAAAAAAAAAACCACATTGTTATACGTTGTTCAGTTCACAAGGTTCAATCTTAATTAAACCAAGTTCAGGGTATAAGCGGAAATGACTAGCAGTGAGGGGCCGATTACTAACACTCGCTGGCACATTCATTCTAAATTTAGACAATACCCTTAGACTCCTTCAAATTGAATCACAACCTTATAATTAATATTTCCTGTTCTTCCTCTCTGTGTGAAATCGTCAGGCCCAGTGGCACTTCACTGTTTTTGCAAGTATTTATTCTTTACAGATTGTATGCCACTGCATATGACCCAAAACCTCCAAGGCAGAACTTTCATTTCTCCTGAAAAGACAACAGAAATACACAACCTAAATGATAACTATAGACCTTCAGGTTAATAAGTTGGTCCCTCACAACAAGGTCTCAGGTTGAAAAAAATCTTATTTTGAGGTAGAGCTCAATGGAGGAGCATTTGTTTACTATAAGGTCTGGATTCAATCCCCAGCGTACTGAAAAGAATCTTATTTTAGAACTAAGATGTATTGATGTATAGGAATCAAATCAAATTACATTGCAGTAATATGTGAGTGTGAATACATGCCTCCACATACGTGATGAAAGATGGATAAGGCATTTTAAAAGCATGATTAATATAATAGGCAATTTGGGAGCTATGTGTAGATATACATAAGGAAAAATGCTGCTAAAAATTGCTGACAACATGGAAACTTTCCATGTTTTATTCAACCTGATTTAAAGACACAGAAGAAGAAATTAATTTCAAAATACTTGAAGTTCAGTGTGAGGTGCTAGGAATTCCAAACTGTGCTGGCAGCAAATAATCTAATGGATATGAGGTCAGAGGAGATGAAGGAGGTGAAAGGGGAGATGGCAACTATCTAGTCTAAAGTCAGGCGAGGTTGCTTATGGATGGTGTATGCTTGTCACATGTGCCATAGTAAAAGTCTGTCTCAGAGCTGAGTTCAGTGGGATGACTGAGGGCTCAGATGCACCACCTGAAACTGCATATCGAAGGTGTGTTGATAATCAGCGTCAATAATAATGTTACATAATAGTAACCAAGAGAAGGCTTTGGATTGCTGTGGGTCTTGTCTTTTCCTCTGAAAACTGCATTTTGGATGAAACAGCAACAACAGCTGAAACTGATGAATCTTGGGCTCTCACAGAGGCCAAATGTGGACTCAGTCCATCTGCATTAAGTTAAATGATCTCATTCTTGGTCAATAGCAGGCAAGGAGAAACTGTAGTTAAATGAACCACATACCTGCACCTCATTCTTAGAGAAGTTTATGGCATTGGAGGTGAGACAGCCACCTCTTTGTCTGGTGTGTCTCCCACCATCTGTACATCAAGGACCTGAGCTTACGCAGCCTCGTCATTTGCTACCAGAGTATAGCTCTGTCCTCCAGAATTTTGAATGTCTCCTGCCCTCTCCCTACGAGATCAGCACATGTCATCAACTGATTAAGGTTTAATTCTTAGTTCTTGGTGTGTCTGTAAACCAGATAACATGAATGGGCATTGTAATGAGACCCTCAGGTTGTTCAAAGGCACATTAATATTTGAGAGACACTACCTTATGCACACTGTCACTTCTTTTGAGTTCTATATTTTCATTTTTATATGTATTATGGTAAAAGGCTCTGAAATTCTCTTCCCACCCACATTACCCACGTCATTAACATCCTCATGTAACTACCAAACGCACATCTCTGGAACACAATTTGGATGGTACAGGAAATACACTTGCAGTCTCTGGAGGCTTCCAGTGGCCTTCAGGATTGAGCCCCAATTTAACTCTTCCTGGGATGAGCTCCATCTGCATCTGCAGTCCTGTAAGCCCCAAACACTTCCCTGTGAGGTGGAAGAGGGTAAGTTGAGAGTGGAAACTGCAAATATGATGCACTGAGAAGCCTTCTGGAGGTAGGGATAGTTGAGAAAAATCCCGGATGATAGGAGCCCATTATGACCAGAGTGTCCCTCCTTTTCTTTGCATGGCCTCTTTCCTGTGCTGAGAGGAAAGCTTTCTGCCTTGGCTTTGTGCCCATTCTCTGGGCATCAACTGAAATGGCATCCTTTCCAGAAGATAGAGTTTTTTTTTTTTTTTTTTTTTTTTTAGCTGTTCTGGTTCACTCCAGTTTTCTTGCACTGGACTTATGCCCCCCTGCATGGACATGGCACTGTATAGGTTTGACTCTTGAAAGTCAATGTTTCATGGTGAACATTTTTGAGTAGATGATGGAGGAAGCAGAACTGGGTAGAAGAGAACTTCAAGCTATGACACAGACCTGATAAAGCCTCTGTGCTAGTGAACTTATTGTTGCTGTGACAAAATGCTTGAGAGAATCAACTTAAAAAGGAGAGAATGTAGTTTGGGCTCCTGGTTTCAGAGGTTTCAGTCCATAGTTGTCTGGGTCTGAGGCAAGGCAGAGTAATGTGATGGGAACAGGTGGTAGTGGAACTATTTACCTAATGGTACACAGAAAGG